AAAAAGGTAAAAATTTCCATCACGGAACCGGAAAGAGACGGTGGGGAGCGGTGGTGGCGGCGGCGGGAAAAAAAACCTTTTTTTCATTTCCTATTTCCCCCTTCCCACCAACTACCCCCCCCCCCCATTTTCACCTTTCTCTCCTGTGCGTTTTCCTTTGCCAAGCATTTCAAAAATTGTAAATAAATACAATTTAATAATAATAATAGTGATAATAATAATAATCACGAAACGTAATTTAATGTATGACTTTTTAATCGTGTCATTACCCTTTCTCCCTTTTATTTCTTTTTCCACGACGATTCCCCTTTTCTTTAATTTTACTTTTTTAAATGGTAGAAAGAAAGAGAAAGAGGGAGATAGATTGAAAGAGAAAGGAAGCGAGAGAGAGAGAGAGTGAGAAGAGTAAACAATTTAAGGCAATTATCACGTCGAAAAAATTTTCCGGAAAATAAGACGGTTTGTTTCATCGTGTGCCGAACGTGCCGACCCGTTCAAAAACCCCTTCCCTCACCTCACCTTCCCCTCTTTCCTCTTTTGTTTTTGGCGTTTCCGGCGCGGGGGGATACAGTTTCGCAACTACTCATTTCTTCCGTCGGACGGACCACCAAAAGAAAAATAAATTAAAAATTAACATAATTTTATTCGCGTTGCATTTAATGACCGTTTTATTCTCTCTCTCTCTCTCTCTCACTCTCATCGATTACCCTCGCCGCCATTTTATAAAAATTAACTTGTTTATTGTTAATTTTTTTTTTTTTTTTTTCATGTTTAAATATTCGCACTCACGCATGCACTCGCGCACGCACTTGCATGCATATTGTTATGAACATTTTTCTATATTGTCTTTAGCAAGCATTATTACAAAAAGGATTATCACTCATATCATGGATAACATAAAGTAACCTTTAACCGTCACTCTCACTAACACAATCATTAATAAGATGTTACGTTCACAGGACATTAGGGAATCAGAAGAACTTCTCCCGTTGTATCTTGCTTCCTTTTATAGGTGGAACTCATTGTTATTATTATGTTTCTATGAAATGAATAACTATGTTTGTAAACAAACAGAAGAATAAGTTTCTAGAAGCTTCTTTTCCATAATAAACACTTGGTAACCATAGTTCCAATGTTATTATTTATAAATAATATAAAATTATAAACATTTGCTCACGTGATCACAACAATATATATACGTACACATACGTAAGTAACTACGTAATAATAATAATGATAATAATAATAATAAATTATATTAAAACAAGTTTAAATATGGCTTCCGGATGCACAAACATCGTAATTGGTTTTTTTTTTTTTAAAATATATTTATAACATGAACCCCCGAGGCAAAATTAAAAATAATAATAATAATAGTAATAATAATAATAATAATAATAATAATAATAATAAAGCGTTCAAATCGAGCACGAAAGTCATTTATTCAGTTGGTTGTTTTTTTTTCTTTTCCACTATTAAAAAAAATTTACATTTCATTCAATCACACGACCGTAAAATTTATTAAAAAAGGAAGGGGCGAAAAATTTTCTTTTTCCTTTTTCCTTGTTAGTTTCGCTACCGACTTTATTAATATAATCTCGATAGAAAAATTTCGGTAAACATCGTCGTTTTGTACCCCCCCCCCCCGCGGTAAGAAACAACAACTTCCGGAACCCGAAAGAAAAACCTAAAAAAAAAACCCTTTTTCTAACGTTTAAATTTAAGATTTTCCCTTTTTCCACCTCTGGAAAATTCTTCTGCAATTTCCAAAGACAAAACCAAAGACTAGACGGGGGAAAAAAGAAAAAGAAAGCGGAAGGAAGAAGAGAAAAATTAGACCGCCAACCGTAAACCGTCGGGGTGAAAAATTATTAATTTAATTCGATCTCGTCGAAAAAGGGGGAGAGAAACCCCCGCGAAGGTGAGGGGGGGGAAAAACAAAAGAAAGAAAAACACGACAAAATGTTTTTATATTGAACCCGAGTCGCACGAAGAGAGACAAGGGAGACGGGGGGGAAAAAAAAAACCGTCAGTCGAGCGTAAAACGTCGAAACGTCAGTTAAGAGAAACAGAGCGAGAGGGAGAAAGAAAGAGAGAGACAAAAAGAGGAAGAGGATAGAAAAAAAAAAGAAACAAACATGAGAGAGAGAAAGAGAGAGAAAAGAAGAGGCTGTGTATAATTACTGGAAAATCGTACACACACACACACACAGAAAAAGGTCACGGACGTAAAATTTCCATCAAAGTTGTGTTCGTAATTTAAAAAAAACTTTTCCTTACATGTCGCGACAATGTGACGATCGATTTTCTTTTATCAAAATTCATCATCAACGACCACGACAAACTCATCACAATCGAAAACAATGTGAAGAGAGAGAGAGAGAGAGAGAGAAAAAATCAATTCGAAATAAAATTTAATTTATAAATTCGACATGGATGACGCGTTTCCATTCTCCGTCACAACATCGCCGCCGCCACCGCCCCGCCCCCACCATCCCCCTCCGATCGCGTCCGCAAAAGCGGAAACGATTCGAGCTCTAAAAACGTTTCTCGTGGAAAATTTCAATTTCCTCCGAGTGAAAAATGAATTCGAACGCAAACTCAAACGCCATCTTTTGCCATAATTTTATTTGCTTTTCCCCATTTTCCAAAAGCGGAAAACTCTCGTTCGTCTCTCTCACTCTCTCTATCTCTTTCTCTTTCACTTTGTTTTTTTTTAACTTTTTGACGTTGAATGAAAACATTTTTTTTTCTTTCTCTCTCTCTCTCTTTCCATCTTTCATTATTACAAAAATTCTCCCTTTCTCTTCTCTTTCTCTTTTAACTCTTCAACTTGACGTTTGTTGTCTGTTTGTTTGTTTGTTTGTTTTTTTTTTTTTGTTAATTTTTTCTTCCATCCCTTCTTCCTCTTCCTCTTCTTCTTAATTCACTTTCGTTAGAAGATCCGAAATAGAGGGTCCGTTTTTAAAATTCCGGGTTCCGCCGAAAGTCGTCGCACTCACACCGAGCTCAAATTTTTTCTCTCCCCTTCCTTCCTCTCCCCGTTTCCCCTCATCAAAAAAAAAAAAAAATGAGAGAAGAGAGAGAAAAAAAAGAGAAAGACAAACAAGAAACAAACAAAACAAAACAAAACAAAAAATTTTAATTATTTTCACGGGGAATAATAATAAAAAAAAATAAAAATGCCGCTTTTGTTTTTTTTTTTTTTTTTTTTTTTTTTTTTTTTTGGGAAAAAAATCCCCCCCCCCTTTTTTTTTCCCGTTCCCCCCCCCCCCACCATTTTTTTTTTTTCCTTTTCCCCCCCTTCCCCCCCCCCAAATAAAAAAAAAAAAAAAAAAAAGGGGGAAAGAAGGAAAGAAAAAAAAAAAACTTTTCCAACACCCCTTGAAAATTTTGGGGGGGGGGGCAAAAAATTTAAAAAAAAAAAAAAAAAAAAATTTTTCCCCGATTATTAATTTGAGGAAATTTTTCAAGGGTTTTTTTTTTTTTTTTTTATTAAAAAAATTTTTTTTTTTTTTTTAATTCCCCGGGGGTTTTTTTCCCCCCCCCTTTTTCCCCCTTTTTTCCTTCC